TGAACCGCAGCCAATGGGAGCCATGATCGGCCGAACCTGTGGTTGCAGCAGGTAAACAAACCGGCCAGGCCCTCCAGGGTGCTTATCCTGGCGGGCCGCCTGCCAAAGGTTGCCGATCCCTGTATTAGATCTTCAATTCGATGATTCCATAGAGTTTAAAATCATCAAATTTTGGTGTAGACCTGTTTATAAGCCGACCCCCGCTCTTTGATGCGTCACTTTTTTACCAAAAATATTCGGCTTATGAACGAGTATATACAGTATTTCTTTTAAAGGACAAAGGAGGACAATTTGTCCTGGGAAACTGAGACAACCCTGCTCAAGGATCTAGCTCTTTATCTTGATGTTACCTTAAAGATGTGCACTATGGAAGCCTGTGGTGTTTCCCCCCCTTTTTTGTTTTTGTTTGCTGTATGATAATGAATAAACGCTCTGATCCTTGGCTCACCTAAGACTTCGATTGAATCTTACATCCCACTCATTTCAAGCCTTTTCCATACAAACTGGTCTAACCTGAGTTTACTTTAGGATTGAAGACTGGAGCCTTTGAAGGCATCTCATATTTGTGAAAACAGCACAAATGTTTTGATCATACTTCGAGGATGATGGATGTAGCATAAAGAACAGACAGACAGGTTCAAAGTCTCTCCTGCAGAGCTGATGTCCAAAAGTAAGCCTTACTTTATATAACCAGGAAGTAGGAAGGATACTGAATTGAGAATGCGGATAGCTAGGATTTATAGTCCAGGTCTGACATTTATATGCTGATATGGACTGACAAGTGATGCTTCTGTAAGAAATATATGTGCATATAATGTAGGGAAACCTGGTTTATTCTTTTCTACTTATTGGAAGCAAGCCAGATCCTGGAGTAAATTCAGTTTGTAGATTTCATTTCTTAAACTTTACCAACTTTCAACTGCTTGAAAAGCAGCCTCTCAATTAGCGATTTTGTCTCATTACCCAGACTGAGGTCTGAGGGCAAGCCTGAACAACTGTTCAGCAAATCCCTTCGACTGAAGGTTCAGACACTGAAAACTAGTGTCTTCTTGACCACTGTGGAAAAATAATTAATGTTGATCATACTTTATTTTTTGTATCATTCTCTAGGACAGGTAAAATCAAGAAGACATAGCCAACACTTTCATAGCACCACTGCCACAGCTTCCACTTCTTTGAGGTAGAACGTATCTTGGAATTCTTCTGACTAACACAGATACCAGGAGGACACCAAACTTATCTGAAGACTTAGATATGAGAATAAATCATCCACTCAATCTAGTCATTGCTGACTAGCTCAAGCTCACCACTCAAAGTGGTGCGCCTTTTACTGAACGTTGCACATCAGTAAGACTCTTCTCTACAGAACAAGAGGATGGATTCTTTGTGAAGACTGGTGCTTCTCATCTTTTCTTGTCTGTTGACATAAGTCAGGATTATAGCCAGGAAACTCATGTGAACATGTGTCTATGTAGAGGGTCTATACTGAACACATACATTCTTAGGAGCTTGCGTCTTCATGGATACTGAGTGCCGAGTATGTAGGCTACTAACAGAATCTTTTTGTACCTTTTGTTCAAAAATGCACTCTTCTCTGCCACAATCCTCTCTACCGACCACTCTCTACTCTAATACTATATAATACGTGTAGTGTTGTTTTTAAAGTTGCCATTGTTAATTTCCAGTTTTATATAACAATTACTAAAAATGGAAATTTTGAAAAATGCACATGATATACATCAGGAGACATCACTAAATCAGGAGAGTTTCAGATACTTGTGCTATCCCAGAATGATGTTATGTTTTGTACTGTCTCAAGCAAACAGTAGTCGTCAAGAGTTTTTTTTTTTTAAAAACTCACCTTTTTCCTATGGTAAATGCTCCTTCACAGGCAGAGGTTTCCTTTAAAATGACTTGGATTTTTTATCTTCTCTAGAGTCACTTAAATTAAAATCGCAAGTATGTCACACTTCAGTACTGCAAGTTTAGACACAGAGGTCTTTAAATCACAATCAAAAGACTCAAAAAAGCAGAAGGAAACAACGTTTTCTTAATGGAAGAGCCACACAGTGTATAACTTGGGATAACTGCAAGAATGGACTGTAATAGAATTACAGTAGAAACTCATTCATTTCCAATCAAAACTGGGAGACCTACCACAGTTTACAAAATCTGTGAATTAAGCAAACAAATTAAAAGTATTCTAGGATGCTCTAAGATTTATTTTATTCCTTTATTTAAAAAAGCATCATTATAGTATTTAAGATATTAGACCGTATACTAATACATGTGACAAAAGTAATGGTGTGTCTGCTACTAAGTCTTAAAATCTGGCGTTTTGCCCCACTTCAAAATTTGCAAATCTTCCTTTGTGATTAGCAAGTCACTAGCTATACAAGTCTGACATTCCTGTTAACTTGTAGGTACACAAAGTTATGTATTTCTTCCACGTTCACACGTACTTTGTGCAGAAGAGGGAGAAGAGGACCACAAAAACTGTTTAGGAGTAGGATATATGCAGAGAGTCAGACCTAGTCTACACTACTGGGTTAGGTCGAAGTTAGCCGCGTTAGGTCAATTTAAAAAATGAATGCGGCCACACAACCAACCCATTCCGTCGACCTAAAGAGCTCTTAAAATCGACTGCTGTACTCCTCCTCGGCGAGGGGAGTAGCACTAAGATTGACTTTGCTGGGGTAGTGTGGATGCAAATCGACAGTATTGGCCTCCAGGAGCTATCCCAGAGTGCTCCATTGTGACCGCTCTGGACAGCGCTTTGAACTCTGATGCAGTAGCCAGGTACACAGGAAAAGCCCCGGGAACTTTTGAATTTCATTTCCTGTTTGGTCAGTGTGACGAACTCAGCAGCACAGGTGACCATGCAGTCCCCCCAGAATTGTAGAGTGTAGAATGTTTCTACGTTCCCCCTATCATCTCCGTTCCTGAGGTTATCACAGATTAGAAGGCGGAAAAAAAAAACGCACTTGCGATGACATGTTTTCCGAGCTCGTGCAGTCCTCCCGCACTTATAGGGCACACTTAATGCACGCAAGCATTCAGTGGCAGAGCCAGGAAAGAATTAAGTGAGCGCGAAGAGCGGGGCAGGACGCAATGCTGAGGCTAATGGGGGAGCAAACGGACATGATGAAGCGTCTGTTGGAGCTGCAGGAAAGCCAACAAGAGCACAGACCCCCGCTGCATCCACTGTATAACCACCTACCCTCCTCTTCATGTTCCATAGCCTCCTCACCCAGATGCCCAAGACCACAGGGGGAGGCGGCTCCAGACACCCAGCCACTCCACTCCAGAGGATGGCCCAAGCAACAGAAGGTTGTCATTCAAACAGTTTGATTTTTAGTGTGGCTACAATAAGCAATATGGCCTCGTCCTTCCCTCCTCCCACAACCCTCCCGAGCTACTTTGTCCATTATCTCAATTTGTTTTTTAATTAATAAAGAAAGAATGCATGGTTTCAAAACAATAGTTACTTTATTTCGAAGGAGGGAGGGTGATTGGCTTACAGGGAATTAAAATCAACAAAGGGAGCGGGTTTGCATCAAGGAGAAACACACACAACTGTCACACCGAAGCCTGGCCAGTCATAAAACTGGTTTTCAAAGCCTCTCTGATGCGCAGCGCACCTTGCTGTGCTCTTCTAATCGCCCTGGTGTCTGGCGCGAAATGATTGTCTGCCGTTGCTTTCACGGAGGGAGGGGTGACTGATGACGTGTACCCAAAACCACCCGCGACAATGTTTTTGCCCCATCAGGCATTGGGAGCTTAACCCAGAATTCCAATGGGTGGCAGAGACTGTAGGAACTGTGGGATAGTTACCCACAGTGCACCGCTCCGTAAGTCAATGCTAGGTAGTGAGGACACACTCCACTGACTTAATGCGCTTAGTGTGGACATATGCAATTGACTGTATAAAATCAATTTCTAAAAATGACTTCTATAAAATCGACCAAATTTCGTAGTGTAGACATACCCTCAGAAGCTCTCAAGCTTTGATCCACAGAACAGTGTGATCAGACAGACTGCTATATAAGTCTAACTTGTTCCCAGCTGCTAAACCACTTAAAAAAAAAAAGAAGCTAAAAATACATTACTTTCTTACTATTACTTTCCATACAAGAAACGACAGTAGTGGCTATAGGCTTGCTAAATAATCATGAATGGGAAGCAAGATGGTGTATGTGTAATTGTGAGTGGAATAGGAGTTGTTCACAAGACACTATTAAAGAGTGGTACACACAATGACAAAGAAGTTAGATTTTCCTTTGAACGTAAGTAGATACTCTTGTGATAGTTCTGAACAATTTAAAACTATAGATATCCTTTGACCCAGATGCCTCCTCACCAAGCGTGAAAAGGGCCTCAGGTGAAATTTACATATGGAAATGCTTAATTACAGTTTCAAGGCAGGTAAGAATTAAACTGTTCCAGAACTGAAATATGGCTTTTATTAGGATACCAAAACCCATTTAAGCTCACAGCATATCACTGAAAAAAGTAGCATAATTTCATCTGAAGACAGATATGGCTACTTCAGTTTTTACTGCATCAACACAAATTAAAAACAATATAAAACTGTTTCCTATACCCATTTTCATCAGTGTCATTATCTGGTGGTCCTTACTTTCATGGTGTTAGAGATGCAAGCTGATTCACAAAGCATGATTTTTTTCTGTCATAATGCTAAACTGTATTGAACAGATTTGCACAATAAGCAAAACCACCACAAAATGCAGCAAGTGCTAACAATAGCTGAAATATTGAAAAAGCAATTTAATCATTTAAAAATTACAATTTGATAGCACCTATGGAAGCTTTGAAGGGGAAGAAGAAAAATGTCATACTTACGATAAGCATTCATGGCTCTCTCTTTCTTTAAATATGAAGATGTAAGTCATCCCAAAATAAAATAAGAAAAAAATCATTAATGTGCTAGACCATTTAAAAGAAAAAAAATGTACTTTCTTAATGCAGCTTTTGCAGATAAATTACAATGAAGGCCAACTTTTCCATTTTTACATAGTAAAAAGTATACAGCCTTTATGATTTTCTGCAAAAGCTGGAAGTGCTGACAAAGAAGTGCTGATAACAATTAATACCAGAAGGTTAACGTAAAGACAACCCTGGTATTACTTGAAGGAAAGGGATCAATTCTTAAAGATGATTAAGGCTTGACAGACTGGTCTCAGGGATGCCACACAAAACCTTGATTTTTGCATGTTAGCAGCTCCTAGAATTTTAAGAGCTGTAGTTCCAAAAATCAACATTTTGGGCTAATTTGGCAAAATCCTCTGGCTAGCCAAAATTTCCTAAAGTTCTGATCATAACATGAAGAACAGGCAAAGCAGTTTTCATCAACTGAATCCATCACAAGTGGTTTTTTGGTAGCAGATGGAAGAAGAGGAATTGAAATTTCCACTTCAAGACATGGATAAGACTAAATATTGACCTGTTGCTAGGTCTTTCCAGGTAATAAACACACAAAGAAACAAGTTATTATTGATATGCTAACTCACCAATTTGAGAAATGAAACAATTCAACATATCTTTATGTCAACAGTGTAGTTGTTTGTTGAGAGCACTCCAAAAAGAGGAAGAGTTTGAATGGCACATCTGAAATATTCAGTGCCACAGAGCAGATGCTGCAAGTCATTTCGACAATTCAATAAGAGATTTTCTAATTGACACAAATAGAGTATTTGGTAAAGAAACCAAAATACTGCCACAAAAGAAAACAATGAGAGAGGCAGTACCACTGCAGACAATGCAGCGTAAGCTCAACAGCATTTTAAAAACTTAGAATCTGGGCTTTAAGAATAAGTCTCCCATCTAGCTATAGAGACACAGGAATTGTTACAGATAAGATCATATATCATTCTAGTGTGGTGTCTTGCGCCTGACAGTTGCTAGTACCTGAAGTTTCAGAGGAAGGTGGAAAATGCATGTTGCCAATTGTATACTGCTGTACCTGGGGGGAATTTCTTCTGGGTCATTTCTGGGCAGTCAGCTTATGCCCTTGATTGCGTTTTGATTATTGTTTTCATTAACATCAGCAAAAAGAAGAACAGGAGTACTTGTGGCACCTTAGAGACTAACAAATTTATTAGAGCATAAGCTTTCGTGGACTACAGCCCACATCAGGGAAGTGACTCCATAGTTGAGGTTTAGAGATCCATTCTATTTCTGACCCCTTTTAAAAAGCTGCATTGGGACTGAAAATTCTCATGCTAAAATCTCAGGCCATAGGTGAAATTTCTTACAGGATGCTGGAAATAAATTGCTCCAGCTGTTA